ACTCATAAGATACTTCAAATAAGGGTGAACAAGTTGATTACGGTTCTGTAAGTGCAAAAATTAACTTAAACGAACCTGAAATTCGCCGTATTTTGTGTAAAAATATGCGAACACCTAGCCGCAAGAGACAGATGGTCTTTGGATACTGTGGTTTCAGAGTCCGGGAGAAATTACCTTTACAACGGGCCCGATTTTTTGTGTTTTTCTTATTTATTTTTTTCCTTTTTTTGTCTTTCTTTCCATACTTTTCTATATATTTTCTTCAATAATTCTTTCCGTATTGTGTCCAAATAACAGTTCTCCAAATTTTATTGTTTTCTGAAAACTATGTTGTACAACAGTTATTCCCAAGACGCGGTACAATGTCGTATTTTTTAATGACAGTCCGGGAAAGCTAACGCGTTAGCTATTCCATGTATCTTAAAACTCCTTATCTAAGAACACTGTCCGAAATTGATTGTTTTCTTACGTGGCATTCATAACTGCAAATCTTTTTTATGGACACGTCACAGCAAAAGGCAAATTTATTATGAGGCCATGAGCAGCAATTTGGGGTACATTACTGTACAGTACAGTTACTGTATATGGAAAGCTGATGCAGTGGTTCTGGGGGGTTGCAGCTACAAACAGTTCTATCTTTAATTTTTTTTTATTTTTGTCAAACTAGTATATTACTGACGTTGTTACTACCTTCAAGACCTTCTTGTTGAAGCCCAGGAATAACATTATTATAACAACTACAAATGGTTACTGAATATAATGGATATATCCGTTTTTGTTGCAAATGCAAAATAACCTAACTTAACATTACCTAGCCTGGTAATCTTATACATTGTAGCGTACTGTATGTGGCCAGTTGTCAAACTTCTCTGTTTGTATATTTTCTCTTTGTAGGGCTCACATACATACGCACTAAGGATGGAGGTAAGAAGGGAAACTCACAATGGCGTTTTTTGTATATATATATATATATATATATATATATATATATATATATATATATATATATATATATATATATATATATATATATATATATATATATATATATATATATATATATATATATATATTGTATGTACAGTGCAGTGCTACGGAGTTGCTGTGTGGTGAGGAGCTTGTTGAGAGGTCTTGTTGGTTTGAGAGCATTGAGTAGAATGATCTTCATGGCTAGGCTGAGGAGTATTTATACGATTCTGCAGGATCAGAGAAGAGAGGTGCGAAGTGAGCGACGCTGCTGATTGGCTGAGGTGAAGGCTGTAACGGGCCAATCACCGCGCAGTCCGAGAGTGAGGCCTGGTCTGTGGAACTCACTGCTGATTGGCTGGTAAGCGGACGACAATTGATCAGTCAGCAGTTGTAGGGGAGAGTATCCACTACAATACTCCCCCTCCCCTCCGAGCGCTGCAGGAAACTTGTTGTCGGCCGGGTTGAATCCCACATGTGAGACATAACGGTCGGGGGTGTGGATCAGTCGGGCGCTAAGGGGGGACGACTCCGTCTAGTGACGCAGAATCTGTGGGAGAAGGTTTGGGAGAAGGAGGGTTGTAGATGAGAGAAGGTTGAACAGGCGAGGAATGTGGTGCTTCTCTTGCGGCAGGTGCAAAGTCCTCAGGGGTGCCGGGTAGGGTGTCTGGGTTCATAGGGCTGGATGCAGGATCCTCATCAGGAGCAGTGGGTACCTGAGGATGAAAAGAGGGTACCCAGAAATGTTGTGGGCAAGGTGGTGCTGCAAGTGGCAATGGTGGGCAGACTGGCGAAGGAGGTGTGGGATGAATGTGTTCAGGGCGATGGGAAGGCTGGCTTGGGGCAGTAGCCTTGAATGCAGAAACTGCCTGTCATAATGTTTGTAGTAGGTCGTGGCAGGCAGCAGGAGTGAAGTGGTCAAGGTCAGAAGTAAGGCGTGTGATGTGCTGCTTGATAGTGTCAGAGGTTATGGTGTCTACCAAACCCCGTCGATGTCGCTTCCTCGTGTAATTGCAAGGACCCTCACAGCGTCTAGCGTTAGCACCAAAACGTTGATGGTACCAACAGAAGGTAAGTACACTGTGCTGGGGGCTGGCGGCGGCGTCTGAGGCAGGACGGGGGTGTTGGGGTCGGTAGGTCACAGTGCATGGGGCAGGAACAGAAGTAGCAGCAGGCATGGAGGAGCAGAGCTGCTCGAGGGTGTCCATTCTGCGGTGTAGAGATTGTAGCAGGTCCTCAAGTCTTGTTTGTCTGGTGGAATGCTACTTCTCTGAGGAGCGTTGATCTGGTTGACGAGACCAGAGGAAAGTGACGGTGTGGCCGCTGAGTTATTTGCGGCAGCATGGCGCACAGCAGTGTATTTGTGGAATACTCTGTCTGCCGTGGCTGCATAGGTCGCCGAGGTAGTAGAGTAGTCCAATGCTGAGAGGACGAGACGAACTTCTGCAGGGAGCTTCTGAGAGTGAAGCTGGCACAGGATAGTGTCAGGAAGCCTGTCTGTGTGGCGGGAGTTCAGTCTTTGCATCTCGTCCCAGAGACGTGCAGGCGTTGAGTTGCCGAGGGAGAGGCCGGATAGGTCTTGCAGGAGACTGGTGTCAGGCTGCTTTTATCGCCTCTTGAGAGCATCTCGTAGAGCTGCGAATTTGTTGTCAGTTGGAGGGTTGGTGATGACTTCTGCAACTTGTGTGGCGACTTCTGTGGGCAGGGAACAGACCAGGGCAACGTACTTTTGTTTGTCTAGCTGTTGAGCTGATGAGAGCTGCCTCCATGTGGATTAGCCAGTCTTCAATGTTGTGATTGAAGACTGGGAGAGTGATCCGTTTCTCATCCATCCTTGTGTGAGTGCGTCACTCCGTGGGTCACCAATTGTAGCGTACTGTACTGTATGTGGCCAGTTGTCAAACTTCTCTATGTTTGTCTATTTTCTCTTTGTAGGGCTCACATACATACGCTCTAAGGATGGAGGTAAGAAGGGAACTCGCATCCCTGGATGTCTGCAAAGGTGGGAAGTATCTTGATGATCCATGCCTGAATATATAGAGAACACTGCTTCTGCATTATCTAAACAAACCTTGTTATTATTCCTCTAGTACCATTTCTCATATATGAGTGAATCATTGAGGTATTGGTAATAGCACTAATAAATGATATTGCAAAAATGATAAATGTATAAGAATATTTATAACAAAGAAAATTAGTTTTTAATGATATTGTAATGACAAAATGCATACTGTATTCACCAGTGCATTCGGATGGAGCTTGCATACATTTACCCGTCTGCTGTTACTCCTACTCGGCAATAGTAGGAGACAATATGAGTGGAGCTACTGCTGGGAAAGTGGGCCAGGTTTTGGCTCAACCCCAGAAACTGCCATCCTCTTGAAGTAACCATCTAAGGCTTCCGTTTCTTCTGCAGCATTTCCTTGGAGCAAGAGATGCCTGCCAGAACACTTCTCCTGGCAGTACTAATGCATTCTCAAGTCAGGATCATGTTTGGTTAACACATTAATGCCCTCATCGATTTTGGCTATGGCCTCCTGACAACAGGGATGGCATCAAGTTCTTTGATAGAGCTTCCTGAACATCATCTCCCTACTATTCCACAGCATTCAATTTTTATAGCTCTTCGGTAATAAAGGTTTCCATTAGAATGCAACAGCTCCTCCACATGCCTCTGGCCACACACCATTCATGCAGCTGCTGGTTCCTTTCATGAAGCACTGATGTTTTTAATTGCCTTCATTATGTTGTAGGACTTCATCATCGATGAACACAAGTTCAGGAGGGTACGGTAGTTGCCGTGGTCAATGATAGCCTCGAGTTTCTGGGAATTCTCATGCTTCCTGTTCGTTAACACTCACATTCTCACCAGTGATACGCACACTGTGCAAGTTAGTGTGGCGCTTGAATTTCTCGAATTACACATGGCTTGCCTTGAATGTCTTCTTTGATGTTCCTGTACATATGTGAAGATACTTCTTGTCTTTTCCATGATCAGCTAACTTAGGGGCATCTGACACTGTGCCTGATCTTCAATCCAAAGACTAGCATTTTTACATCTTCTCCAGTAAAAATGTTTTTCAAACGTGTAGTATTGGTAGAAGTTAATGAAGTGGTTGATTGTGCGGAAATCATTTATCTTGTCCTGCCTCCATATATCTGTAGTACGTTATCCTGTGCAAGTTTACGCCCATGGTCGGCCACAGCATAAATATAGCTTTAGGACAGGCCAGGTATCCAATGCTTTGTTCATTCATATGAAAGAAATAAGCATTGCATTGACTGGGATAATGCCTCCTCAATATTACCTTGTAATTCAATCATCAGTAGGATCATTATAGAATCTAGTCTCATTAAACATACCGAATCTATCAACATGAATTTGAGTAAAGGCATGTACAAATTGGACAAATTTGTGATCAACAAGATTTGTAACCGAGTGAAAGGAAATATAGTGGAGACCTGCTGTCCCTAGGGACTTTATCTCACTCTCCTTTACTTCAATAACTACTCATTAGTCTGTACTCACCCCTGAAGATGTGAATGACACAAAAATGCTTGGGAACTTGGTGTAGAAGCTGTTGCCAACACAACAACCACACCCCAAGTTAATGAGCTGCATGACCTAGTGTCAAGGAATAGTCCAAGAAGACTGGACAACTCGCCAACTGCACTGGCTAACCATTACCCCGGAATACGATCCGCAAATCGATAAACATCCAGGTTCCCAATTACTGCTGGGTAGACAGAGGCAAACGGCATAAAGGAAGGAACTTGCCCATAGTTTCACCCTGCCCGAGGATCGAACTCGAGTCCGCTCGCTTGCGAGGCGAGGATGCTGACCATTATATATATATATATATATATATATATATATATATATATATATATTGCTAAAATTAATCCGCATTCTAAAAAGCAGCACTGTAAGAGGTATGATTGTAAATCATAACTAGGAAAGGGAAAGATAAGGTAAGTAAACACAGTATTATAAGAAAATACCACGAAGTAAGGATTACCGGTTAAAGAATTGCTTATTTTCTTGCTTTATTGATGTTGAGTCTGTAATAAATACAAGTAAACACAGAAGGAGCTTACAGTACTTGTAAGTGTTATGTAAGTCACAATAAGACCTACAGTTTCACTTGCGGGAGATGACTTGTGTACTTTGGAAAGCTTTGTGTCCCAATTTAGACACTGAGACTTGGCGACACTGCCAGTGTTAAGAACTGAGGTTCACATTGATAAGTAGGGGTCTAGATGAATAGATTTAGTTTGTATGTAACTTGATCAGCACTGTGATACTGTAATTTATAAACATTTTACAGGTACAAAGAATTTTAGGAAAACTTTTGATAAATAATCTCTATACTAACTACTGATCTCATTACAACTTATTCATACATATATAATGCAAAACAGTCGAATAATGTGAAGAAATATGAGGTATGAATTCTTTTCTATGTACTGCATATGGTATGACAATTTTTCCACAAATATATTCACAGTATAATAAAAAGGAGGAATTCTTTGAGATTACAGGGCTAGGAAGAACGGACAGGTCATATATATATATACAAATTTACAGATGATAGCTAAGTAACAAGATTTGTACACTAACAATATCCTCCTTATACAATCCTCTCGCCAATTCTGCCTCAACTGAATGACTGACATGGATGAAAAATACTACTGAAAGTAACTTTCTAGATAATCTGCTCTGTAATCTGTGCCATGTTTAGTTACTAGAGGTTGGAATTAGAGAGACGACTGTAACATGAAAGCACAACAAAGAAAACGGCACATTGATGGAAGAAAATAACAACCGACACACTATCCTAGCTAGGTGACTGACAATGACTCATAAAATAAAACATTGAAGATGGAAAATAAATGGTTATGGCAATCTAACTTTAGTCTAACATTGGCAGTCTTAAGATTCTTCATAAGATTAAAAAGAACCAATCACTACAAAAGAGTAGAGCATTCTACCATTTCCTTTATCATTTTAATTCTGGCCTTTTACTCACTAATGAGCTCAGCTGCTGTGTGCGATAGTGATCTTCCTCCAACTTGCCAGCAGATAATCTACACATCTTCTTGATGCGCCTCTAATACAGGGATTATATGAACTTTGGCTTCATACATTTGTATCTTGAGCAGGATAATCATCTTTACACTTGGATTGAACCAATACATACATAAATCTACAATATATATCTCACTCGCATTCAACCTTTGGTACAATTCATTGTTCAGGATATATACAACCATGATAGACGACACTCGAGGGTGCAGGATGATAATGTTTACAGATGGGTTCATGGTATGCTCATTTTCGTATGTACAACTTCACAATCATCACTAACTTCTCACAAGTTTAAGGAATACTTGTTGAATATTTAGGAAATTATGAGTATCTCCAAAATGTTGTGTGTTTTCCCATAAAAAATGGTGTAAACACATCTATGACAATCACAGGTTGACAATGAAAACACATTATATAATGGTCATTATACAGTATCTGGTTGTTTTATGAGTGATGTGTTTCCCCCAAGAAGTAAGGATCAAGGTTCTTAAAACCTTAAATAGGTGGTCCTGCCTGCCATAACTGGTAGTCACTTGTCATATTTATATTATTCTTGAAAGTTGTAAGGAATCTGATAGTGTAAACATAAGTAATCAACAGGGTGATTGTAATCACTCAATGAAATAGTCACCGGAAGATATATATATATAGAATTATTAACAAAAAGTTTCCCTAATGGCCTCCCATTCTTATATACTGTACTGTAATTCTTTTTGGCTATATTTCTATACTGTATCCTGAAAATATCACTTATTGGCCTGGTACAGTATACTGTATATTTCTATTCTAATAATTTAACTTCTTTTTTCAGACTTTATTACAGTATAACATTTCCAAATTGTATATTGTTCCTTGCTATCTCACTTCTTCATTATCTACCAGGGTGACCTAACAGTTGAGAGCACCTTCATCTTTCACCTATATTGTTATTTCGTAAAATGCAGATAAAAGACAACTGCTTTACTTATAAGTATCCACATTAACTGATACTGGATCTTTGACTCTAAATAATGTGGTGAGGTAGTTGACCAATGAGTTTGAAAGAGGATTGTGGGTGATATTTAACTATGAGAAACAATATACAGTACAGAGACAGAAAGATGAAGTTTCACTTAACTGCAGCAAATTCAAACTATAGTATAATCATGGATTATAAGTACCCTGAATCACAATGAGACTGCAGCAACTTTGAATTATTAGTCAATTTACACTATCAAATTTCAACAACTTTGAACCACAGAAACAAGTATTACATGTTGACACTCCTAGATAACACTAGCTTGAAGTTTGTCGAGATCTGGCTTTCGGCTTATGGATCCTTTCCTCCGTGGTAACGTTGAGGGTTGAGGGGTGGTATTTGATGATAGTGAGAGAGTGGAGTGGCTGAGAGCTGGTGTATGAGGTGTCATTGGTGGTGCTACAAGCCCAGTATCTGGGCAACCATTTTGTAGCAAAAGATCAATTACTTCCTTATCCCCAGCTGTCCGGGCATAAAATAAGCTTGACCTGCCTTCAGCATCACAAATTTTTACACTGGCATTATACTGCAAGAGAAACATTATGATTAAAATCACCCCCCCAAAAAAATAATATATATATATATATATATAATATATATAATATATATATATATATATATATATATATATATATATATATATATATATATATATATATATATATATATATATATATATATTCATGATACAGTCTGTACTACCCCAAAGATAATTACACGAAGATTCGTATATATGATTATCATAGTGATTTACTTATATATATATATATATATATATATATATATATATATATATATATATATATATATATATATATATATATATATATATATATATATATATATATATATATATATATATATATATATATATATTCCAGCCATTTAATCAAGAAACTAATATATTTAAGGAGAAATTCTAAACATTAAGCAGTCCTACTTACCCAGAGTAAGAGCTGTACACAGGGCAATGAGGGGAAGGCAGCAGCAAGGTGTAGTGGGGTTCGTAGGTCCCGGTGAGGAGCAAGAGGGCTGTTGACTGCATCGCCAGCATGGGGAAGCAAAGCTGACAACCTTTTGACATCTCCACGACATACACAATCTACAATCTGGAAGGGGGCAGGAGTGGAATATGCAATCAAATTGTTGACATTCAGTTTTCTTCTACAATAAATATCAATAGCATTCCAGAAAATCGATTTATCAAGAAACTTACAAGGAAATGAATACTAACCTGTTCATTTAGAGGAATGCCAGTCTGTGGAAGGGCTAAGAACTCTTTTGCTTCGTATTTGGCTCTAATCCAGCGTTCTTTGTCTTCTCGACAGGACCGGGGGTTAGGCTTGGTTTGACCTCTTAAGTGAGCTTCCCATATATTGTTCCCAACTTCATTACCAAGTAACATCATTACCGTTACAGGTCCAGGCCTAAAAATTAACAAAAAGGATTATACAACATGTGAACACTCAATAGATTTTGTATGTTATTTATGTGCTACTAAAGAAACCAACAGTAACACGGACAGTCCCTTCATTCAGTGATGTTGGTTCTCTCTAGCTGCCATAACAGATATAAACACTATAAACAAGTCTTTTAACACTTTCACTGGCAAAATCAAATTATTCGACTTGGTGTTTATACCTGGTCCAAGACTGGCAAAATCACAGAAATGCGATTGTTTTGAGACACCGAAGTACAGTATAGAGAGGAAGGCTATACCACGTGATTATTTTGGGTAATGAGTGCACTACAGAATACTTTATATAAAATGTGCAAATGATGTATAAGTCTATATTTGGGGTTGGAGTGATAGGTGCATTCTGTTAACACTAATCTCTACTTCAGATAATGAATGTGATAAGGGTTTTTAAGAGAAATAGAGGTCAAGAGGTAAATGCGAACAATGACCAGAAATGGTGTCAGATGGTTTTTAAGGACAGATATGGTTTTGTTAGGTTATGGTAGGATGTGTGGAGTCACAGGGAAATACCTCATGGATATCTTGTGTACTCGTGGAAAAGCACATTTGTTATAGCAATTACAATAGCAGGAATAAATTATATAAAATGAAAGGAGAATCTGTGATTGGTTTTGATTTTGACCAACCCATATCAGAACAAGAAAATGCATGCAGTAAAGAGGAGAGCTAAATACTTATTCTGTGAACTGTTAAAAAAAAGTACCCTGTGTATCTTATTTTTAGGAACAATGGTTAAAAACAAAAACATAAATCTTCCTAAGAGTGCATATACTTACGGCCATTCATCAAGGTCAAGTGACCTCACTTTTGATATGTGGGAACCCAAATTTCTATGGATACCGGAACACTCTATACACATCAACACTCCAAGGTTGATACTGGCCCACTCAGGATCTGTAAATAATAATTATTTTCATAGAAATTGTATGCTCAACAAAAAATAAACAAGTTAAGCTTCTACAACAAATACTGTACAGTGATTAAAAATGCCAGTTTTATTGACATTTACACAGCAAATCTTTATATATATATATATATATATATATATATATATATATATATATATATATATATATATATATATATATATATATATATATATATATATATATATATATATATATATATATATATATATATATATATATATATATATATCAAATGCTGTACAGGTAAAACATATAAAAACATTACAGGGCCTCTCTTAACATTTTAATTAACCAGCCTGAATGTCCATTACTGTTATAGTTACTGTGTCAATAACTACCCCAAGGTGTTAGTCATTTACAGCTACCTGAAACTATCAGAATTCAGGTTCTGAGGGTCATATATTCCCATGGTAAATTTGTCATAAGATAAAGTAGGCCATAACAAAAATCACAATTAATTAAGGGCCAATTAGGTTTGGGATGCAAAATTTGTAGCTACAGTATTTACCATAAATTTACATCAAAATTTATTTGGGCAACATAAAATTTAAAAAAAGGAATTACCTGAATAATGTAGTACTGTACTACATCCCAGTAATGTTTTAGGACAAACAATTGTACTTCACTATTGGAGGGCAATGGTAAATGGCTTGGTTGTTTAGTGTAGTTAAATGGTGTCATATCTTTGTGTGGTCCAATTTTAATAAGATATTCAACTATATTCATCACATTCCTTGACCAAGTAAGTAATAAAGTGCTTAAATCAATTTGCTCTTTTCTGCACTGCAAAATATCCCTCTGTATGGGCTAATAACTAAGTGTATTCTTGTAGCCTCAGTGGTTTTGCCTTCTCTGCATCATGTGACTCCCCAATGGACAGCGTTTCAAACCAGCACCTCTTAATAAGCCTCAACTATAACCCTAATTGAATTCCTCAATTTCTAATATCCTCTATATGGCCCTGAAAAATACCAACTGCAATTTTGGCTATGGCCCTGATTAATTGTCCCTTCTGAAATCTTGGCCATGTCTCAAAACCACTTTCTCTCGACTAGTGCAGTACTGTATAACACTTAAAGGAGGCCCTGCAGTACAGTACATACAGTAATTGCCAAAGCTAAATAAATAAATAAACATGTTGTTCTTACTTGGGGCATCGCAGTCCACACAATTCATGTTCCCAGGGACCTGATTTTTTATAGTGGATATAGTTTGTGGATCAATTGGATGTGCCTGCCGAGTCCTGCTCTTATTAGACTCATTGCCCTGAAGTGAGCAGAGAATTTGTTGTTCAATGACTGTCACCCATTCATCTCTCTCCTCTTGACTCACTGCTTCAAAATGCCATTGTTTGTTGTCCAGGGATACCAAACTGAATTCGTATCCATCCGAGTCTAGAATGAAGACACAGTACATACTCCATTAAGAAATAAGAGCGTGATTGTGCAAAATTTATAATAAAATAAGAATAATTAACAAATAAAAACAGTAGGGATTCAGAAGAGGATGTAAGAATAAGTGTCTGCATTAAAGATGATGCTGAAAAGCTTCTGGAGATGGGATGGAGTTTCTTTGGGTCATTTATGGATCTAGAAAAAGCATAAGATATGAGTGATTAGAATTTAGGAAGTATAGTACTGTACAGTATTCAGAATATTTGGGTTAAAGAGAAATTGATGAATGCTGTTAAGAATTTGTAAAGGAAAAGAGAAGCAACTATTAGAGCTTGCTGGGAAGAGGGAATTTAGTTCACTGTGAAGTAGGACTACTGAAGTGTACTGGCATCATGGTTGTGCTATATTACCATGGTGAAAGCAAGACGTGAGCATGTGTGGCAAATAATGAAACAGCATGTAAAAGTGAGGAGAGTGAGTTAGCTCGAGAAAATGAAAACAAAACTATATCCTATATACAGTACAGTACAGTATATACAAACACAGAGGACATATACCTGTATTTTAAACAAGTAAGTATATATATAACACTGCCAGTATACTCTGAAATTTAGTTTTTAATTTTATTTTGCAATACAATAACTGTACGTCATACAGCACTACATGAAAAACACGGCATACTCTTGCAATTACAAATCTCAAAATTACAGCTACACTCTGTTCTTCAAGTCTTTTGCACATTTTTTCCCAGCTGAGAAAAGATGCCCTGCCCCCTCCTCAAGAGTTACAGCCGATTGGCTGTTGCAAATCTGTTCGATTTCTTACTGAAGTAATGATGTATTTCTAAATGAGTCTATTCATAATTGTTGGGATGAACCGTTTCTGGCGAGAAAGATATTTAGCTAAATTATATAAAGATACTTACATTCATTATTTCAAACAGGAGCACGTAGGAAGTTCATCAGAAATCTTATACATGAATTAACTGTTAAACTCTGGTAACAAATTCACGCTTTCGGAGGATGCAGTTAATATATACTGTACTATTTTACCCACAATAAGTCATACTAAGACACATTATGTATCAGTAAAACTACATTATGCAAAAACTAACATTTAAAAAAAATCAGAATCACATTGAAATATTACACGACCGTCAGCAGGCGGAAATATTACCGAGAACAACTCCATGTTTTCCTGCCTCTGCTACCGGCTGTTCACTGGAGCAACCAAGTCTGTCACACTCATCCACCAATTTTCAGGGCGGTAATATTTCAATGTGATTCTGAACTTTAAAATGTTAGTTTTGCATAATTAGCTAAAACATTAAATATCAAACAGATTAAAACAACATCTTTCAACAGCACTATAGTCACTTCCTATGTGATTTTTTTCTTACCATTGAATGTTTCTAAAATGATATAAAGACTCATTACAAAGACAACTCTGCCAAACACTATTTTTTTTTCTTATTGCCACTGCAAACTTAATTACTAAACTGCCATATTTTTTCTACACTACTGCCCATGGTAACTATCGGCCATTAGTAATTGTACTGTAATGCTAAACATTCCTTAAGTCAGGTTTTATGGATAAAGGGAAACATTTTCCTTCAACTATAGGACTGTACTGTACCATACTGATTAATCAAGGTCCTTTATATTTAGCAGATGCTCTAACTGATGCTACTGTGTTTCAAATACAATATTTTATGTATTTGTCTCACAATTTAAGTGTTTAATGATGATTCTATATACTTCTGGTCATTTTCAGAGAAGCATATAACTTATCTATATTTGTGGGAAGAGTGGATGATACAAAGTTGGTGTCACTTTTGAATTCTTACCTTCACACTCGGCATTTTTATTTCCACTACTTTTCATTCTTCTGTGTCTCTTTTTAACATTTGGAGTTTCGATCTTTGAGGAAATGCTGGCCGAGTCCAGACCATTGACTCCAGCTGGGTCGTGAAGTGTCTCATAGGACATCAGGGTTACCTGGAATACATAGTAAACCTAGTACAGGGGTACTGTGCTAACAATAACTATTAACATGTTTTTTTTATGTTTTTCATGCACTTTAACCATTTTAAATTATGTTTAGATATAAAATTTTTACTAGTGACATTAAAAGTGAAAGAATGTAAGTGATATTAAGAAACAATGATAAAACTCATGCAGGAGACAACCTTACACATATACTTCAATGCATCTATAATTCCCTTACCTTGTCTTTATTTGACTGCATGGGACCACCAAGTGAAGATCTGCCAGCAAGGGGTGGTCCTGGAGTGCCACCCGAGGTAATGTTGAGAGTGTGCATCTCTGAGGAGAGGGGATCACCTCCACCACTTCCAGCCACAACTTTAGATCCTCTTGGTTTCATGCCTGGGACTTTAACTGTGGTATATTGAAGAGAAATTTCTTTCCCATGTACATCCTCCATGTAATCCTGTTAAATAAAATAAGAAGTTTCGTAAGTACAGATGTAAAACGTATGAAATATTTTATACATTTCCATTCCATAGCACCACAATAAAAATTAAAAGATTTGCCTAAACTGACCTGTACAGTATTACAGCTACTAACAAACATAATATTGGTCACAAAAGTAACATTTTCATATCTAAATGCCAATTTAGTTTATACCTACACTAAAATAAAAAATAAAATAAAATAAAATTGCACTACTCACATGTAAACTTGGATGGTAAGTCAGTCTGCCATTGTCACATAATGTGACATATTTCTTCTTCCAGTCTTTATTGAGAGCCTTATTAGACTTTTTATATAAATGACCCTGCTTTATTGGGATGGCACGTCCACTTCCTACTTCTCCATTTTTACTTTTATCTTTCTCATCACTTTTCTTTGATGGAGTGAAGAGGTTAGACTTTCTCCGACTTTTCCGAGATGTAGTTGGAGTAGAACTTGGAGTGGGTAGATCTTTGTTATCCCTAGGTGGAGGTAAAGTATCTGTAATAATACTGGCTGGTGTGGTGTTTGGTGGAGGTGGAGGTGCCATAAAGGCTGCAGTGGTGACGGCACCTGGGGCACTCACACGCTTGTAACCGCTGTCACGGAAAGAGTCTGTTCTTGTCATTGCAGTTAACTCTGCTCCGCTCCCGTGACTACTTCTTAAAGTTCCATCCTTTAAAAGTAAAGAAATTTTGTCAACCGTATTTCAGAAAACAAAGCAAATATTTAACCCTACTTTACAGTGCAACACAACAGTAACACAAGTGATATTTACACCTGTGCAATACAATACAGTACAGTACTGTACTATCTGTACTATTATACAATGCATATACAGTACAGGTTTCCCTCACTATACGAACGTTTGCTCTGTGAATATTCTATTCTTGCACCTCTTTTTCACTTTATGAAAGTTATTCTGACTTAGTCAACAATGTTCCCTAAGGTAATGAGCCAAATTTATATTTTATTATTTTTTTTATGTGTTATGTACTCACTTACAGTACAGTAGTTAGGTGGGATTTTCTTGTCATTGGAGAAACAACCCCTATTTTTCCCCAAATATTATGTTACCTGTACAGTATAGTATTGTACGTACTGTAGTTTCCTGCCATAACTTACAAATTTCAGTACAGAAATACAATAAAAATGTGTCTCATGATTCAAATGCTTTTCTAAACAACTAAGTTGACAAGAGGCATATTAACAACAGTACATGCAAAATCAAAACATAACACCCAAGGAATATCTAACCTAACCCTAATGCAAAGTAAATCGTTTTTGGTATCATTGGACTGTTTAAATATTCCCCTATCTCCTTAAAATAACATTATGCAAAAAATGACATCTTTCAGAACCTTGAGCTGTGGCACATGAAGGTTTGAATTTTGTAGGGTACACTTTGTCTGGTGAGGATAAATATTCACGTGATATCAATGATCTATGTGAGTAACTGATATTGTTGTTTTTACATTGTTTAGTTATGAATATTTACGTGAAGTTTCATCAAAATAACAAATGAACCAATAATTATCCTTTAGAGTTAGACAGTTTGACTCTGATGGAAACAGAACGACTATTTACATTAAAGAAGTAACACTAGATGGGAGCATAATAAACTGACTGAACTGCAGCACACCAAAAGAGAACTTACTGATTCTATCACTAACCTTAGTAATTGTGTTGGTATACATGACTAGGCGAAGAGCCAGATATGGGTGGGGTGACCTGCTGGCCTGAGGCAAGTTGTGGGGTGAGGGGGGCAGAGGTGTTGGAGTAGGGTGCAGGGGTGTAACCGTTGTTGGTGGAAGGATACCGCAAGAGGTGTGTGGGAGTCCCAGGTCTAGAGTTGTTGGGGGTTAGACCCTGTTGGCTGAGGCGTTGTGCCACAATCTTGGAACACGCTGTTGAAATATAAATATATTAAAATATTCCATCTTCTGTGATAAACTTGCATAACACATTATATTCGTAACGAACAGTATGCCACCTTTCATTAGGATTAATTAAATGCCCCCAAAAAAACTAATAGTTCCGTTAATAACAAAATAAGTGGAAGAACGCACCATCATGGAATACTCTCTCGACGTTAAGCCCATAAGTCGCGCAAGTTTCGTAGTAGGAACACCGCTTGAGGTCTGAGGCTAACTTCCGTGCCCGTCCGTCATCTATCACACGAGGGTTGTTCCTGCTATTCATCTGTAACAATATAAGATTATAGTTTGTAAAACTACTACAATATGCTTCACTAAAAATAGATATCATTGTAATTATGTTTCTGCTTTGCTGAAGAAAAAAACATGGTAAATACTGTAATGCACAATAAATGTTTTCTGTTTATTTTATACCTGTGATCAACAATGAATTATCTTGGTGTTTTGGTTACATATTGTAACGTGAGTGCGTCATACGCCTCCTTATGACTTCCCTCTATTCAATTTGTCTGTACTCTTCATACCATTTCCCTCTTTAACCATTACATCATCTAAAAAAAATCACAATACATTTAGATACACAATCTCCACAAAAAATATACATAGAAATGTAACCCAGCATACTGTAAATGCATTCACGTTTACGATATCGTACTTGGATTATAACAAAGACAGTGTGGTATTTCAAGTATTAAAACAGTTTGAATTAATCAGTTTTGCTTTTCACTCACACTATTTGGTTACAATTGAAATGCTTGTGTGTATACTAAATGACAGTATACACTAGTTGGAACGAGCCACGGTGTTGTCATGGTTGCAGCTTAAGATTCTAAAAAGTTCGCTAGGATCCCGCTTCCTCTATCAAGGAATAAACAATTGAAATTGAACGTTCGTATTATGAAGATTCCTCATACTGAAAGTGACAGAACCCATCCAATTGGTTGATTTTTGCTGAAGCACCAGAATAACGTCCAAAAATAGAACGATAATTATGCTAGAGCCGTACACTTGGCACCACAAATGAGATAAAAATTTCTACAGTATCTTCTGAAAGGATATTCCGTAATTTTGTCTTCAATGTGGTGCTGAGTGAAAGAATATAGCTACAGTCTTAGTGAAATTACCATCCTATATTTCAATGTTAGTTTCGTACCATAGTCAAATAGTTACAAGCAATACTCATCGACTGAACCTCTGATAAAATAATCTGGACTTGTGCCGGAATCCACAGTAGCGTGCTTAAGGTACACGGAATCAGTTGTTCACCTCACCCCAGGTTCACTACCAAAACACTCATCTTGCTCAATTCTAACACTCCGTTTGATATAATGTGATAAAAGTGAAACATCTAACAAACGGTGATATGAGAAATCAAAGGAGAAAAAAAAACAAACAATGACGCAGGTCAACCATGAACGCGATTATATTATTATAAACGATTTCACCCATCAAGTGCCACACTTACCAAATCTCTTATATTCACAATGACGCCAAGACCATATCTCACCCTCATACTTAAACAGTTTCCATTTAAAACCAACTTGTAGTGCCAAACTTTCGTCTCTGAATCATTCTGAAGGAGTAACAATTTACCAAACTTACTAAACGAGAAACTCGAGACTAGGAACGGAGGGTGGGGGGAATGGGGAGGGAGGCGCCTCCTACTTAGAAACGGCAATTTATTTCTGTAATAAGTGACCACTCACCATAAAAATACGTACAAAAAGACACCCCCTTAATAAACAAAATTTAATGTTTCTACGTCTGCGAGAAACATCTCACAGCATTACCCTTGTCACACATTTCTAAAATACAAAACCTGAAGCGCAGTGTTCTACACTCTGTGACTTTACACATACGACCACGAACAAATAATTGGCGATTACAAATTACCAGAATACTTCTTTTCTCCCTCTCCTTTTATACGCCCTCCTCGACCTCTCAACGAGCTCCCCTCTTCATCCTCCTTTCTCTTTGGTCCCCCTTTATCCATCCATCACTCTGTTCCCTCCTTCTCTCGTCTGGCCTCTCCGCGGCATGGAGCACTTCCCAATCTCGACTCTGCTAATAGGTGTCACCCATTTATGTGATCCTGGTCGTGGTGTAACGAGAAGCTGGGGCGGGTGAGACAGGTATAGTGGTTAGTGGTGGTGTGTATGGCTGGTGGCGTACGACGAGGCCAGCTGTCCTACACCGTAACACATCTCCTGCTAGCCGCACCCTCATCTACCCCATCATCAGAGCCCCTCCGTCATCAACACAACAGGTCGAGGGGGCCGGTGGAGCGTGTGAGACTGGAGTGGGAGGGTTGTGAGTGGACGCTAACAGTGAGGGGAAACTTAAGACCAGCGTCAGGCCTCAAAGCTTCCTCCCAGGAACACGTCGTGCGCTCCCCCGTGTCGGGTAACTGTGCACGCTCACCCCCACAGTACATCCATCCTACATGAGGCTCACCGTGACGGGCGTGTCTCTTCATGATTCTTCTATAGAACATGGTGGGAGGTTCTAGAGGGGTGAAAGACAGCCAACACACACAAGAGCGGCAGTAGACCGCCTCGAGGCTATTAGCCAAGAAGCCTCGGTGAGTGTCGGGCTGGTAACTACCTCGTCAATAGTTGGGTAGCAAGACCCTCCAGTGGATCAATAGAGGGAAAGGCTCACAATGTATGGTGGTGCAGTTACTGGAGGCCATTATGGAGGATGTGGGAGGGAGCGACATAGGGGCTGCTAATACCACCGCCCCACGCCACCCTCTCCAAAGCCACCACCAACCTACCCACATTCACCACACCTGTTTCACAGCCACACCTCCTAAACGGAGCTAGTGCTAAGCGGGGAACATGTACAGGGCAGCCTCACCTGCACCATCGGGCTCAAACACCACACCATACCCGGCCACAGCCATCAGTGGGACACGACGGGCAAGACACACACACACACACACACACACACACTGGAGACAAGCAAATGGTGGGTCCAGCCAGCATCACCCTCACCTCAGCTTTTTTTTTTTCGTTTCTCTTTCTCGCCAGAAGATGGATATCATTAAAGTTTTCCGGCTGAATAGATATTTTTTATTGTTGAATTTCAGATTTACTCAGTCATGTCAATGTTGTTATTGTCGCCCACTCCGTATATGTATTTTCTGGCGAAATAAACTTTCAATATCGATCATCGCGTTTCCTTGATAAGAAGAGTAAACCTGATTTAACTTGGTGTAAAATAAATTTGAGTAATACCATCCTTCAATAAGTTGTGGGGCGGTGTGTGATGGTCCCAGCTGAAGTTGAGAAATAACCACCCCGTCACCCCAGGGGAGGGCGGGGCCGGGGTGCCTACTGGTGCTGCAGGAGGGTGGCTCTGACGACACTTTTTGTCCCCTTGACTTCTTCCCCTCGTGATCCACCACCCCAGTATAACCGTGGTGGGGAGAAGGTCGCACCGCCCTCCCCTCACACGCCACCAGCAACCACCTACTACACCCCCTCCCCCATACTGACACACAACTTGCTTGCTTGTTACTGTAAATCATTATGGAGTAACGTAAGAACCCACAATATTAACACAAGGTCATGGGGCGAGGCGGGACGGGTTAAGGGGAAGATGCCACACGGTGTTGGGGGCGGCTGGGGCAAAGAAAATAAATAGAGGAGCAGCGCGTCACCTGAGCAAGCGGGAGGCAGCTGCCAGTTATAAGGTGACGACGGGGGAAGTACAACTCCCTTTCCCTCCCCCCTCCACACACACACACACACACAAATTGGTTCCTCACAACATGATCACCGAAGATAAATTAATCAGGTATAAAATGGCTCACGAAAGGCGAGTTAGTGTAGTGTAGCGTCATGCACGATCGGGCCCCGACATGCATGGCTCCACCAGACGTCTTGAGGGCATCATGTTAACCGGAGAGAAACACAATAACCAAACTCCTCTTAATTCAAATCACGTCAAGCGGTGTTATCCAATCTTTTTACCCTACTACACTACAATCCACGGAACTACTCGGTTATAACACTAAACTGACATCTAATGGACGGAAACTTTTATTGCCCTCAATGGGTTTGGTTAGGTTGAATCGTCTTATTGTTTTACTATGGTATTCCTGCATTGTTCATGACCCAGTGTGATCTTGTATAATAATTTTATTGAATATCTATCTTTCAATCTATACTGTCAAATGTAAAACTACTCACTGCAAATAGTCTAGTTACCGTAGATGATGTAATTATATAAACAATGTATATAGTCCACATTTATATAAGTATTATTGTTTTGTCAGGGGTTAATCCATTCCAGTGTGGGTGTGTGTATGTCGGGGTAACACAGGATGTCCACAAACTGTGTCCACTCCAGGCGCCTTGCAGCTTCCGCTCTCCACTGCCTTCACTTTTAACATTCTCTTTTTATTTCGTCCTCTTCCTCTTGATCGCCATTATTCCCCACTTTTGTTTGTCTTCCACCTACTCATTAACACCTTTTCCTCCTCACTATCAATATCACCACCACTTTCTCATCATCATCAACACCTCTCTTTCCTTTTCCTCCTTACCACTATCATCACCTCTTCCTCCTATTCTTCCCTCTTCACCAGCACTTCACTCAAACACTGGTCACCTCCAAGCCTCCTCTGGACTCACTAACACCTCACTAATGTCTCTCTGGGCACAATACCTCGAGCTTTGTTTCCTCAGAATATAAATACAACACGCTTACCCCCACACACACACAACTACCTTACATATAGCCATGACATGATCTATATAAGAGGAAAACTTCACAAAATTGGTGTAGAATTTTCCGCCTTGGCGAGTTGTATCCATGCCTTAGTGGCTGGCAGATCATCATAACGTTGAACGGATGGACACTGAGACCAACAACATACATACAAATGCCCAAATAGATGATGATGATAAAACAGCGGAAACTAACATGTGATACTGTTGATAAAAAAACAGGAAACACAAACACACGCTCAAATATATACATAATTATGACGCATACATCCGCCGCAGGGTATAGAAGAGAAGAGAGAAGTGTGGGTCTCTTCTCTCTCTCTCCCCTGCCTCAGTCGTAAGTGCCGACGACCGATCACTAAACAAAGCCAAAGATGAAGGAAAACAAACAGTGTGTGGCAGTGCCCTCCTCCTCACCAGTAGGCAATACACGTCCTGGAGCTATAGCTTGACCCTGGCAGCGACCTGTAGCAACACTCGCGGTCCACCAACTAAGACAAGACCTAAACAGAAGGACTCGGGCAATGCAAACCTTCCTCCACCTCTCC